AATATATTGTTTTATTGGGTAAGTGCTCCTTGCATGCTCTCTGTTTTCTTTGAACATTTATTCGCTTGGCCCCATCCTTTCTCATCCATTGCCATAAAAAATCTAAAGTGTGACAGCAGCTTTGAAATCGGGTCTTCAGATCAAGAGAAACTGCTCTGGAATTCTGGACTCACAGAAATAATGTGATATTGATGGGGTTTAGAAACTACCCCAAAATGAAGGCCTCAGAAGCGAAAGTTCTTCTCTGACCTCCTATCTGCCTGTCTCTCAATCCCATTCTTCGCCAAGGGTAGCCATAGAAACTACAATTCTCTTCCTCAAGACGGGTCATAAAAGCCAGAACCCCCTTTGCCGAAAGTTAGCAATAAAACCTAAAATTATTCTATGTAAAAACTGTCCATAAAGTAATTCTCTGACCTACCTTGTTTGACTATAGGCCATAAGACCCCCATTCCAGAAAGGCCCCTTTTCTATATCTAGAGGAAGGAATGCATGCTCAGCGTGGCTAAGAAGAAGCTAGATAGGCCTTGCTGGGTTTCCCCACTCAGTCTATTAGCATTAGGTCATACCCTTTTTGTCCAATCATATTTCTATACAGCTATCTGTACTTTGTTGAACCTAAGCATAAAAATGGACAATTTCTCCTGTATCTGAAGGCTCCCATTTATACACGTTAAATAAATTTGTACGTCTTTTCTCCTATTAATTAATGTGCCTCATGTCAGTGATTTTTCACTGAACCTTTAGGGGGCCAGGGGCCTTTGCTCCCTATAATAAGTGTTTATTGTTTTTTAATGCCACTAAGTTTTGGGGTGATTTGTTATGCGTAAATATATAAGTAATACATGTACATAAATGTCATTTGAAAAAATAGACAGTTTGGGACCAGACACAGTGGCTTACACCTATAATCTCAGCACTTTGGGAGGCCAAGGCAGGAGGATTGCTTGAGGCCAGGAGTTTGAAACCAGCCTGAGCAATATAGGAAGACCCTTTCTCTACAAAAAAAACAAAAATTAGCCAGCGGAGTGGCAAATTCCTGTAGTCACAGCTACTCAGGAGGCTGAGGCAGGAGGATCACTTGGGCCCAAGAGTTCAAGGCTGCAGTAAGCTCTGATTGTGCCATGGCACTCCAGCCTGAGCGACAGAACGAGACCCTGTCTCTAAAATAAAAAAGAAGAAGAATAGGTGGAGTGGATAGATGGAGAGCCTTCACTCTTAAATTCAAGATCTAATATTGAGTGTTGGTATCAATTGGGAGCATCTATGTGTTCTTGATCAGAGAGATAAAGTGAAGAAAACTGTAATAGTATGAAATATATATTTGGTCTTATCCTGTCATTTTCAAGTGACCCTTTTCCTGGCATACAACTACTAAAATCCTTAAGAACTCCAAAGCGTGTCTTTTTGTATGCTAATGAGTTGACTGATGGCTGGTAGCGCCTAGGTAGTTTCAGGATGGGGGATGGTCACCAGAAAGACCAAGGCAGGATTAGAGAGTTAGGAATTTCAGCCCCACCCTCACCCCTGTCTTCCGGGGAGGGGAGAGAGGCTGAAGGTTAAGTTAATCACCAGTGACCAAAGATACAGTCAATCATGCCTGTATAATGAAGCTGCCACAAAAACCCAGAAGGACTGGATTCAGATAGCTTCTGGATAGCTGAACATGTGGAGGTTCCTGGAGGGTAACACCCTGTAGATGACATGGAAGCTCCATCCCCCATCCCCCATACCTTGCTCTGTGCATCTCTTCATCTACGTCATGTGTATCCCTCGTAATATCTTTTATACCAAACTGGTAAATATGTTTCCTTGAGTTCTGTGAGCCAATCTCACAAATTAATCCAACCCAAAGAGGGGGTCATGTGAACCCCAACTTCAAGCCAGTCAGTTAGACATTTCAGAGGCCTAGAACTGTGACTGGTGTCTGGGGGTGGTGCAGTCTTGGGGACTGAGTCCCCAGCCTGTGGGATTTGATGCTTTCTCCAGGTAGTGTTGGAACTGAATTGGAGGACACCCACCTGGTGTCCACTGCAAACTGAGAACCCCCCACCACACATTTGGTCACAGAAGTCTTCTGTGTTGATTGTTGTGATTTGAGAGCAGAGGAAAAACACACTGAGTGTGTTTTTTCACTCACAAAAGCAGTCTTTTCACTCACAAAAGCAGTGCTTAAAGACTGGAGGCATGTATGCATCATGACCTGCAGCCCAAGGGGACCCGATGCAGAGATTGCTTAGCATAGCTGCTCATACAGCCAAAGTAGATAAAATAGCAATGTAGGACTTAACGCATTTATTTGCATGGAAGATAAAAGATGTAAAACATTTTAAAAATGTCACTGAAGTAACTAACACCTTTATAGTAACTGACCTTAATTATGTTTTAGGCTCTCTCCATGATGAGATGGTAATGCAGAGTATATGCCATGTCACTGGATTCAGAATGCCTTGGACTTGCTATATTTATTGCAGATACGATGATGGGCTCCCTTTGTCTTAAGGATTATACCTAATGGCCCAAACTATTTCTAAATAACTGGATAAATGTATAGTTGTCCATTTCATTTGGCATTCAATGTTTATTTTTAGACTTAATCTTCAGGAGGCTTCAAAGGGAGCTTTTTAATTTATATTAGGTGACTATAGCAAAGTCTACTTAATATATTATCATTTAAATAATTTCTCTTACTGTTTAGTACTTAGTGTAGTAATATCTTAATAGTACCCAACATAATGCCTTTAATATAGTCAGCACTCAATAGCTATTTAAATTTTATGCATTATTTTCATAATTTAAATGCATGTTTGATCAAAAAATGAGATCACCTATATCAATCTTTAAAATGGCTGATATAAGTGTTACTATAACACAGTACAAATTTTTGAATTCTTCTGATAGGAAAGCTTGAAGCTCCAAGTCTAACTCCCAAGATGATTAGTAATTAGGCTTCTCAAAAATATATAAATGAACATAATTCAAAAGCAGTTGATGACCTATCTTACACCTCTTGAAAAATCCAGTGTGTGTTTTTAAATAATAATGAACCAGATGTAACTAATGTACATTTAATCAGTAGTCATTAAAATATTAAATATACATCTAGATAACTTCTAGATCACATTTAATACATCTAGAAGTTACATTTGTACATCTAGATAGTGCTTCCACAGTAAACATTAAAAATACTTTCCCCCTTGCCTTTCCTGAGGATGAAATCAAAACATCCCTCAAATATGACATGAAGGATTTAAAAATCTTAAGATTCTACCTTGAAATGGCAGACTGTTCTCACATATCTATTTTCTCTATCAAAAAGCCTGCTAAAATAACAAAAAGGATTTTTAAACCCCCAAGGACAAAGAGAATAGGAGATGAGACAACGGTGAATAAAAGATGTCAACTCATTTTCAGAAGGCCAAAATAGAGAAATGATAAATGAATTCATGGATCAGAGACAATTACATGCTAAATGTCTGCAAGGAGTTATACCAAAGAGAGACAAACCCACTTGATAAAGAACCTGTGAGAGGCAAATTTTTTGCAAGCAAGATTTCAGAGAAGGTGGCAAGGTGTAGGCCTAGAGACATGATTCAAGTCTGTGTTCAGAATTGGATGTCCAGGATCCCTATCCTACTCTAGGAAGCCAAATAACTCTTTCCCGATCCCACAGAAGATGGAAAATTTATTTTCTAGGTAAATTGAACCAAAGAAGGCCCAAACTCAGAGAAGTAGGCACAGATGAAGTCTGGGGTGTACAGCATCAAACAAGGAAATCATGTGAAAGTGTATATATTTACTGCAGGAATGTCACCCCTCTCCCCCATCTTGTTCTGATTAAATCAGTATCTAGGTATATGGCCTATCCCCTCACCCCAAGTCAAGATTGGAAGATTATTCTCTGAAGAAACCATGTGGTCTCAGAGAAAAGAACTACAAATACTGACAGTTGGGCATTCTCTAAATAAGAGGCCAGGCCACTATTTACTACAATGAAGACTAGTTGACAAACTATCCATGCACACTCTGCTTTTCAATGCCTCACTTCTAAATATTAATTGACAGCCAAGGGTAATTAGACAAGGAAAGTTTTCTAAATGAAAGAGAGAATGCTTTCAGCATACTTTCTTTCCCCTAGATTTTGTTTCTACTACCTGTGATTGACTAGGGCTTAGAACGTACACCTGGAAAGAATTTGTTCTAACGTTGGGATTATGAACATCTGGGAGGAGAAAGTGTCTCCTGTCTACTCTCACTAATATCCAAAACAGCTCATTGCCCTGGAAGCTAGACATGTCATTTATATGCTGAACTTCTATTGCATAAAGCTATGTGGGCCCTCAATAAGAACCTCGAAACTTAGCAAGCCTTGAGCGCTGGAACCACACAGCTCTTTTCCAGCACATGTCTTTGCAAAACAGTATATAAATACAACCTCTAGAAATGACCAGGACTCTTATGTTCCACCAGCTCCCAGGGCTGCAACCCCAGATCCTTGGCGATGTTGCCACGCGGCAGCATTTCTCCAGCTCCACAGGCACGGAGTGGTGCATCTGCCGAGTTAGGGCCCCCAATGGCGCTCCTAGGAGAGTGAGGAGCAGGAGCAGCTCGCTGAGGGTTTAAAGCAGCCACCTCTCATGTAGCAAACCTCAAATTGTCTTTGAAGCTCTTTTTCTGCAGATTGACCTTTGAATCCAGTCTCAACTGAGAGCATCTCCTATTTTGTTTTGCGTGGTAAGAAAGGGGGGGGGGGGGGCTCTGGCCGAATAGGAAAGCTTTTCTTTCCTCGCCAGGTGCATATCGCTAGGTGTATATCGGTGCCTAGAGCCACTGGCCATAATTGCAAGAATTTATAGAAAAGCTTTCAATGGCTGTATTACAATTCACTGAAAGTATTTATTCAGTCCGGGCCGCAGGGAGGCGCGGTCGTGAGCCTCGTGCGGGGCCACCGGCTGGGAGTTATTTCCGTGCGGGGGGCAGGGCGGCGGGGGGCGGGAGGGGGATTGCCGGCGGCCGACCTGGGCTTAAGCGGCCTCCCCCACCCCGGAGTGAGAGCCCAGACCTGGCGGCGTTGTCACCCTTCCGCGCTCTCCGCGGCAGGACGTTAAGAGCCGGTCCTACGCTCCCAAGAGTTAGGTGCCTTCCCCTGAGTCTAGCAGACGAGTGGGCGAACATGAAGTCCAGTCCTGGCATCCAAGCCGCCATCGACCTCACAGCAGGGGCCGCAGGGGGCACCGCGTGTGTACTGACCGGGCAGCCCTTCGACACAATGAAAGTGAAGATGCAGACGTTTCCCGGCCTGTACAAGGGCCTCACCGACTGTTTCCTGAAGACGTATACCCAGGTGGGTTTCCGGGGCTTCTACAAGGGGACCGGCCCAGCGCTGATGGCCTACGTCGCTGAGAACTCTGTCCTCTTTATGTGCTACGGCTTCTGCCAACAGTTCGTTAGGAAAGTGGTCGGATTGGACGAGCGGGCAAAGCTGAGTGATCTGCAGACTGCAGTCGCTGGGTCCTTTGCCTCTGCGTTTGCTGCGCTGGCCCTCTGCCCCACTGAGCTTGTGAAGTGCCGGCTACAGACCATGTACGAAATGGAGAGGTCAGGGAAGATAGCGAAAAGCCACGATACAATTTGGTCTGTCGTGAAGAGTATCCTTAGAAAAGATGGTCCCTTAGGCTTCTACCACGGACTCTCAAGTACTCTACTTCAGGAAGTACCGGGCTATTTCTTCTTCTTTGGTGGCTATGAACTGAGCCGATCATTTTTTGCGTCAGGGAGATCGAAAGATGAACTAGGTCCTGTTCATTTGATGTTAAGTGGTGGAGTCGCTGGAATTTGCCTCTGGCTTGTCGTGTTCCCAGTGGATTGTATTAAATCTAGAATTCAGGTTCTTTCCATGTATGGAAAACAGGCAGGATTTACAGGAACCCTTTTAAGTGTTGTGAGAAACGAAGGAATAGCAGCCTTATATTCTGGACTGACTGCTACTATGATTCGAGCAATCCCTGCCAATGGGTCATTATTTTTGGTCTATGAGTACAGCAGGAAGATGATGATGAGCCAGTTGGAAGCATATTGAAGTGTTCTGGGGAACCCAGATCCAAGGACTAGTTTGAGGACTACAGTTCATCTCGGAATTCACAGGGTACACCACCAACATGGAATTATTTTTGACTTCATGAGAATTTTGGTTTTGTCTTCCCTTCTTCTACTCTAAATCTTAAACTTTATGGAGAGACCTCTATTTTATATCATATAATATCTGCCCATACTTACATTGAAATAGAAAAGTCGTTGTTCTTGCTGTTGGAAGGACATACAGGGTGAGCTGGTTGGCCCTATGTACATAATCTGAAAGGATAAATATAGTTCTATCTGGGCCTTTGCATAACCTGTATGTGTACATGCGGTTTGGATGATTATGTGTTGTGAGTGAAACACAATTTGATTCCATCTATAATCTCAAGTATCACTTGAAAAAACCAGAATTGGCCATGTTTCATAAAGATAGGCATACATATTTTGCTTAACCCATTCAAGATGTATGGTCTCTTTTAAAGTCTGTTTTTTTTTTAAACTGACTCTTTAAACACTTTATTTACCATTCTGAATTTAAAAAAAAATTTAAACAGGTTTATTCTGATTTAACATGTGCACTATACTAGGTGGTTGAAGTTTTGAAAAGTCTTTATGTGGTGCTTGAAAACCAAAATGCCTATCTAGATTTTTAGGAGGAGAATGTACACGTGTACTAGTGCGGTTTCCACATTCTTGAGTTAAAGTTTCAGAGTAGGCATCCTGGATTTTCCCAAGATACTTTACTCTTAAAGTAGTGCTATTCATTTTCTAAGTGGGATTATATTCTGCATTTTTGGTTGTAGTCTAGAGTATCAAGCTGTGCTACTATGCTTTGATGAAGACCCATGAGGCCAACAATAGTTCTTAGCTTTTGACTGCTGGGTCCTAGCCCAGGTAAGATTCCAGGGTGTTCTATTGGCCCATTTAGGGGTTGTCGATTCACTTTGGGTCACTTGCTATCCTCTACCTCCACCAGTCAGAAACCCTTCCAGAGAACAGAAAGTGTCAAAGCTAAGAGAAAGTTTTGTCTCCTGTTTGGTGATACAGTGACAGTACTCCTGAGTCAAGTCACCTCCTCTCAGGCAGTGCTAGACAGAACTTAGTGCTTTCAATCCACAGTGAGTAATGTCAGGGCCAACCCATTCTTGAAGTTTACCTTGGGGGTCCTCCTTGCCATGATTTTTCATTATTTGAGCCTTCTAAATTCGGTACTGGCCATCAGAAAATTTTAATGATGACTATATGCAAGGTGTAACTAAACAATGAAACATGAGAAAAAGCAACTTTATTGAACTATATCATCTGTACGTATATATGCACTGATTAAAAAACCCCAAGACAGAAAGCAACCCCCCTGACACACACACTAAAGCAAAACAAAACCAAACCCTGAAAAAATCTAGTTCATCTGATCCTCACAGACTTGGAGATAAGCAGCTGTTCTTTGGCCATATGGTATAAGAAGGTCATTCTTGTCACTATTAAAGTAAGCCTCATCATTCTGTGCTGCTCCAAGACCAACAGAGTCTCTATCTATAGCAAGTGTTCTTAAGCAGCCTCTAAAGCTGAAAAGAAGTGAGCCACCCATCTTAATAAATCATATCGAGGTGTTTATCACTGTTGGCAAAAGGTAAGTCCTGTGTGAAACCTCCAGTTTCCATAAGCTTTTTGCTCTCCATGAAGCCTCTGTGGTAACTCTAGCCTTAGTGCCAGAAGCAAGAGAGTCAGGGAAATGAGATGCCGACAAGTAAGGCTGCTGTGGAAATTTGGGGGAGGGGATGCTCAGTGTTGGGGTGGTGGGCCCAGAGCTATGGCTGGTCTTTCATTTCGTTGCTTTTACTTGAAAAGAAAATCATTTTTATACTTTAATTTTAAACTATTTATATATTTAAGTTATATATTCCATATTTCAATGGTCAGTAAATACTGAGTGGTGCTTCCTTGGAACAGGCCTACATTAAAGCAGAATAGAAAACAGGACTGGCTTTTAGCAGGAAGTAGACTTTCCCGGTCCACAGTCCCCTGCTTGGCCCTGTGAGCTAGTCTTAGCTCTGTTATTAGCAGACCTTCTTCTCACATGTCATCTATTAAAGGGTTAACTGAATACCTTCAATAGAAACAGTATGAGGCAAGTAAGAGTGAGTGGGAATGAGGAATGGACATCTAAGTCAGGAGAACTTTTTTCCTATTGTATTTGCTTTAATTCATGGCACAATATTGGGGTAAAATGTGATGATTTCAGATCTCCAAACAAAATCATAGGAACTTGAAATATTGTGTTTAAAGACCTTTGAGTATTCTATCATTAAATTATTTATCTACATACAAATATTTAACTCGTACCATTTATAATGTACTGTATTGAGCTCTGCGTATTGAGACACTAATAATACCTAGTTTCTGTCCTCAAGGAGCTGATGGTCTAGATGTTTGTTCTACAGTTAGACAAGTGATATTCTAGAATGAAATTTAGAAGAAAAAAAAGTAGAATCCAAATTTTCTATTTGTGTGTGTGTGATCAGTGATGGAATCTCTGAATTTAAGGAACTGCCCCTTCCCTTAATAGTGTGTTTGTTTTTGTATTGTGGTTTTTTGTATTATTTAAATTAGTGTCATGGTGTTTGTTTCTAAGATTTAAATTGGTCAAATCAATTTTTCTGATGCCTATCTTTTTAACCTTAAAATTTTAAGTTTTACTTCACTACATAGCATAATCTACCCTTCAACTTTGAAAAATCTTCTCTGTTATTTATTATATACCCTTGGTCTACTGTCAGGGACAGATGGTCTGCATCTTGCATTGCTCTAGTGATATTGTAGTTAGAAATTCATTCTCTGACCTATCTCTCCCTGAATACTAAGCTGTAGTAGTTAAGTATATGTGATATCTCAGAAGGCCCATATCTGGCAATGGAGTATCAAACCTGCCCATTTTCTTCATGATCTTTTTGCTGAACTCAAAAGAAACATAAATTCTCTTTCTTCTGGCCCAGCACTCTAAGGAGGGGTAAAAATCATAATATTTCTAGGAAGCTGTTGTGTACATAAAATAGTCACCAGAGATTTTTGCTCAAGGCCAGAAAGTACCCCTCTGTCCAGGGCATGGATTTCCAACTTGAGCAACTCTTGAGCTTTGAAATCCTGTTTTCAAAGTCTGCAATTCTCTGGTCTCTCTGATCTCTCCATATTCATGAGAAATGGTCCAGAAGTCTTCTCTGAGAGCCTTTTTAGAAAGCAAATTATTTCAGTATTGGAACTATTATACAAGTCTGTGGCCTGCTTTATGAGCTCTGCTGTCTACAGTGTTCTCAGCTTCCTCCTAATGCCAGAACATACATACAGGCTCCTTGTCAATGACATTTAAAAGGTAGACTATGATCTTCCTGTTTCCCCACCTCTTTAAGGTTGGTGGTGATGCTCTGTTCACTGCATGAGACTTAATGGCTTTTTCAAAACCAGTTCAGACTGCAGTTGAAAATAAAAATTTCACAGGTAAGTAAGTAGTTTTGTAGAAAATTGATGTCTCTTAACAATCCTGCACATTCTGTGTGTGAAAATAGTGTCCCCAGAAAGGACATTATTATGTCCCTCACAGGGATGCCAGATAATTGTATATATAGCAAGTATTTCTACTCCAGCCTAAAGAAGTTTCACTGGGTCCTTCTCAACAACCTGGACCGTGGCCAGCCGCGGTGGCTTGCACCTGTAATCCTAGCACTCTGGGAGGCTGAGGCGGGAGGATCACTTGAGATCAGGAGTTTGAGACCAGCCTGAGCAAGAGCAAGACTCCATCTCTATTAAAAATAGAAAAAATTAGCCAGGTGTGTGGCACTCGGCTGTAGTCCTAGCTACTCAGGAGGCTGAGGCAGGAGGATCCCTTGAACTCAAGAGTTTGAGGTTGCTGTGAGCTATGATGATACCATGGCACTCCGGCCTGGGCATCAGAGCGAGACTCTGTCACAAACAAACAAACAAACAAATCAACTTGGACTCTGAGCAGACATTAACTAGACATCTCTACACATATTTTCTTTAATCATTGATTTATAAATGGCTCTTTTGTGCATTCAGAGGAAATGTGCTTTTCTGCTTTTGGAGAAATGGTGGACTCTTCTCTAGAGGCTTCCTGATCTAGGTTCTTGGTGGTGTTGTCCACAAAAAAAGCCTTCCCCATCTCCTCGGTACCAGACTCGGGTGCCCCTTTAGTTACGAAGAGGCAGCTGGACAGGGTCGGTCTTTTGTTCTGAACTTGGAGCCCGCTGCTGTGTCTTTACTGTCTTCTGGTCAGTGCATTACGGGATTTTAGCACTCATTGGTCTTTTATTTTCCTACTGTCTGCTTCTGTTTTTATGTTTGCCTCGCCTCTCTGCTTTGCTGTCTGTAGTCAAAGCTGATCCGCGTCAAGAAGACTCTTGCTTTACATGCAAGTGCTGATGATTGTCCAGATTGATTCTGTTCTGTTCCTGCAGTAAAACTAGACAGGAAGGCTCTAAAGTCTTGGTTGAGATTAAACATTTTGGCAAAGAATACTTTGTGTGCTTTGTATTCTATCACATATACTTTTTTAGAAAAAAATCCTGTTGGATCTCAGGTTCACAGGGTTGGATTGTGATAGACTCTCATCATTAGTACATATATGGCCTGCTTTATTTATTTACTCACCTATCCAAAGCCATCTATCTGTGTATCTATGAATGTATCTATCTATCTAATTGTCTATCTAAATAGTAATAAGAATGGTGAACACAGCACCTCCCCTAAATGCCAGGGCCTTAGTAATAATCTACATCTAATCATATGGTCCCTCATACCTCTCCCCCACCTGACCAAATGAAGACAATCATCATCCTGAAATTCAATGTCCATCATTCTTTGCCCTTTTGAATATGCTTTTATTATATTATATGTATTTCTGTCTACATATTTATGCACACGCACAGAGGGTCATGTGCTATGTAATAACAACATTTTGGTCAATGATGGACCAAATATTTGGTGATGGTCCTATATGGTTATATGGAGCTGAAAAATTCCTATGGCCTAGTGACATAATAGCTGTTTTAATGTCATAGCACAATGCATTACTAACATGTTTGTGGCGATGCTGGCGTAAACAAACCTACTGTGCTACCAGTTGTATAAAAGTGTAGCACATGCAATTATGTGCAGTAAAAAATACTTGATAATGATAATAAATGACTGTTATTGGTTTATCTATTTACCATACTTTTTATCATTATTTTAGAGTATACTTCTTTTACTTATATTAAAAAAAGTTAACTGTAAAACATCCTCAGTCAGTCCTTCAAGAAGTATTCCAGAAG